TATGAACGTCTGAGAGACCTCGGCGGAGAAGGCCACGGTATGAACGTCTGACAGACCTCGGTGGAGAAGGCCAGGGTATAAATATCTGGCTCTTGAGCGGAGCTCTGGGCTAGATCCTCAACTAAGTTTGTGAGAGACACATGACCATCAATGGGATGCCCTAGAAGGGAGGCTGTGTTATCCTGATTTTACCGGTAATAGAACTGAGAGACAGAAAGTTCTAGCCCTTCCCAGGGCTCATGGGAAATTAGAGGCTGATGAGGATTTGAACCCTGCCTGCCACTGGCTCTTTAGACCAGTATGTGCTGCCTCCATAAGGGACTAAGACCACTGACCTGTCACGAGGACTCTTAGGGAATGAATTGTGGTCCCCTAAAAATATGTGTTGAAATCCTAACCCCTATGCCTGTCGATGTAATCCGTTTTGGGAATGGGTTTTCATTGTCATGTGAATGAGGTCATACCGGTGTAGGGTGGCTCCTAACCCTAACCACTTCTGAGCTATGACAAGAGCAGATCAGACACAGAGGCAGAAACAACCGGGGAAGAAAGACTCCAGGGAACGCCAAGGATCGCCGGCAGACACCAGGAACTAGAAGAAAGGCCCACAGAAGGAATCGCCACAGCCCAGAGAAACCCTGATTTGGACTTTTAGCCTCCAGAACTGTGAGAAAATAAGTTTCTGTTCTTGAGAGTCACCCACGTGTGGTATCTCTGCTACAGCGACAGTAAAAGACTAAATCCAGGACTAAATGAGTTCACCTACGTAAAGTGACTAGCGCAGCATGCAGCCAGGGGTAGTAACAACAAGGTGCCTCCCAGTTGTTTCCTGGGAAAAGACTGGCTTCTAAGACCTAGAAGAAGCCACAGGAGAAGGGGCCAGAGAGTCTGTGCTCGCCTTGAGGAAAATAGAAAAGAGACAGAGGAGTTGAGAAAGGTGGGCCTGTGAAAGCGGGAACCGCATCAGGACTGTTTTGTCACAGCGGGATGTGAAATGACCAGCATCATACAGATGCTTTCAACAGTTCGTTCAAAGAGGACACCCATTGCCTACGCCCCACACCTTCCTCGCGTGAACTGGATGCAGCTAAGTTAATGCAACCCTGATATCCTTGGCCTGCCTCCAAAAATTAACAGTTGGCAGTGGGCGAAAGCTGGAGGTTTAAATTCCAGGTTCCAATGCAAGATTTTCAATACTGCTGTTTGTGAAAGAAATGGGTGATGGGTCCTCTGTTACATACATACCCACACCCACAGCCGTCAAGTCGATTCCGACTCATAGCGACCCTACAGGACAGAGGAGAACTGCCTCATAGGGTTTCCAAGGAGCAGATGGTGGATTTGAACTGCCGACCTTTTGGTTAGCAGCCAAGCTCTTAACCACCGTGCCACCAGGGCTCCACTCTATTATATAGGAGGAAACAATTCACAGCCCTCATTTCCAAACTTGTGAGGCTCGTTGCTTTCCACTGCCATGTTACTGCTGGAAATAGGAGAAGCACTACTTTTAAAGGGTTTAAAAACTTCAGGCTGAAGGTCTGGGACCAGTCTGCAAGGCCCAGTTAAGATCCTGCTCCGGAGCGAAGTAAAGGGGCTGAGACGCTAGTGTTCTGCCCATGATATTGGGCCTGGTTTCCACTGTGTGCTTCTGAAGATGTGATCAGAGTGGGAGCCCTGGGGCCGGTAAGGGAAGCCACTGCCTCCTCCCCAGTTGGTTCGCACCAGCGCCAAACCCGCTTACCGTCCACGTCACTGGGTACCTGGCCAAACATGGCCAGGTAGGGTTCGTAGATGACCGAGCGGAAGATCCACTTCCAGCGGTGCTCATTCTGCCTCAGGATCCCCTGCCTGGCCACGCCGAAGGCCACCATCCACACCGCAAAGAGGAACAGGAAGAAGAACACGTCGATCATCTGTTAGGGAGACATCAGAACAGAATTAAGACTGCGCCCTGCCAGGCTCATCCGCTCAGCCCAGCCACCCCCAACTGACCCTGCACAAAGGCAGGGGCCTCCAGGGCCGGGAGAGCGACCCCACCCAGCGTTCACTCACTCTTTTTAAAAAAAAATGGTCATCATCACCTTTGGGCCTTGTGAGCATCTATTTTCCAGAATAAAAGTAATTGATGCATTCTTGCTTACTTGTCCCCAAACGAGGCCAGCAACATTTCTGCATGAAAGGCAGACACCAACCAAGTCAAGTGCAAAAGAGGGATCCAGCTCTGGGACTACCTCTTTCTCGACACTCCATAATGCTCACATTGTTTAAACCCTGAAATTATTTCCTTTGACTTTTTTCTTAGGAAAATAAAAGCTATCTTCATTAGACAAGCAATGAACAGTTTGTTTTTCCAATTTTTTGCACACACAGCATGACTTCATGGTGATCCGATCCCTCAGATATGCTTTGAGTTAAACCACAACCTCCAGATGAGCTCATCCAAACACCCATCCAATTTAAAGACAAAAACATGGAGGTTGGGATCATCTGGAAAACAAGTTTAGGAGAGCAACGCCGTCAACATTGCTTTCTCTTTTGGTTACCCAAAAAACCAAACCAAACCCACTGCCGTCAAGTCCATTCTGACTCATAGCAACACTAGACGACAGAGTAGAACTGCCGCATAGGGTTTCCAGGGAACAGCTGGTGGATTCAAACTGTCAGCCTTCTGGTTAGCTCTCAATCACTGCGCCACGAAGGCTCCGTTTTGGTTATACATCCCGATTCTTGTCGTTGTTGTTATCAGGTGTCGAGTTGATTTTCAACTCATAGGGACCTGATGTGACAAAGTGAAACTGCCCCCATAGGGTTTCCTAGACTGTAATCTTTGTGGGAGCAGATCACCAGGTCTTTCTTCCACAGAGTCACTGGGTGGATTCAAACAGCCAACCTTTCGGTTAGCAGCCCAGCGCTTAACTGCTGTGCCACCAGGGCTAAAGCAGGTCCATTAGCCTTTTCCTTTATCTGTATTACACAGTTACAAGATGGAGGTTCCAATTCTAGTTACGCTTCTAACTCACTACATGTCTCTAGACAAACAAATCAACCTCCTTCGACTCAACTGTCCACATCTATAAAATGGGTACAAGAGTCCCTACCCTGCCTGTGTTCTTAGCGAGTTGTTAAGACTCAAAGGAAAATGACTCATTAAGACTCAAAATGAAAGCACAGTATAGACTGTAAAATCTGAATAAATATAAGGGATCGAGGTTATTTGCTAGCAATGCACCAAATCACACTGTTTACTGCTCAGCCATTGTTTTTTAAATTTTAACCAGGAAGAGGCCTCTGCCGAAAACAGCAAAGCAAGCAAACCTTATTGATTGTGAAATGCAATAGTTGCTCTTTGAACAAAAATCTTCGAATCAGCAATTAAAGGAGCTCTAAGTACAGAACGGAGGGACCTGTCCCTGGAGAAGGATGTCATGCTTGGTAAAGTAGAGGGTCAGCGAAAAAGAGGAAGACCCTCAATAAGATGGATTGACACGGTGGCTGCAACAATGGGCTCAAGCATAGTAATGATTGTGAGGATGGCGCAGGACTGGGCACTGTTTCATTCTATTGTACACGGAGTCATTATGAGTCGGAACCAACTCGACGGCACCTAGCAACAACAACAAAGTACAGCATGAAACGTAATGTCTGCAAGTATTCTTAACTCTTACCATCCTCTGCAACATGATAATCTTGGGTCCCAAGTTTCTGCTTACGATGAAAATATGGATCAACCTCAGAGTGAATATAATGTAATCCAGGCAAAAAATGACTCGTCCAGAATACAAAGAGCTTTTATTGGAGGGGTGGAGCCTACGGAAAGAAGGGGAACAAAATTTGCGAGATTTTGACAAAACATTTCAAAGTTTTGTTTATTAAAAAGAACCAGACATCCAAAAACAGCAGCTGAGAGCTGACAGGGGACCCCAGCCTGCTGTTGGCCACTAAAGACCAAAGGCTGTGGTCGTCTGCTCTCGTGGACTCAAGTAGGGAAAGGGCATCAAAGGTTCTACCACACAAAGCTTTCAGAGGTTCATGCCTCTTTAGGCCTTCATCCTCAAATACCTACTGTAAGAACCCAATCCTACTACCGCTACATTCCCTGACTTACAGTCTGTATAATGATCCCAATCCCCAATCCAACTCAACCCAACCACTTGGGACTTGACCTCACCAGATTTCCTCTGATGAAATGTCTCTGTTTTGCACCAGGTCTTTTGATTGGCTAACCATTTGCCAATGTGTTCACGGAACAGGCATAAGTGCTTTCTAACTGGAATGCTCTAGAAATCATGTCAGACCAACTGTGATTCAAATGCCAGGATCATTAACCCAAGCAGGCCAGGAGGTTATTTGAGGAGGAAATTGGGTTCTTATCCCCTTCAAATTGTAGGGTAAACACTCATGGTAAGCAATCTCATTCTGCATAAGTGTAAATATTAATACTTAGAGTTCTCTGCAAAGTGAATCCATGTGTGCTGCTCAGCTGTAACTGCTAGTTGTAACTTAAAGCTATTTGGGAAAGGCATGGCCAACGTGGGCCCGGAGGGATGAAGGCATGGGTGATGACAGTCATGGTTCAGGGGGGCAGCCGGTCCCTAATTTCTCTGTCACATGAACGGTACATTGCTTCTTGCCTTCACTGGTAACTTTGGATCGCTTTTTCTCACCACACACTCTGACCCTGGGATTGAGGAAATATGCTTATAACCCGAAGGGCAAGCGCCATGGCCACATTCAAGTTGAAGTTAAGTGCATTTTAGAAGATTAAACCAGTTGCCATCAAGTCAACTCTGACTCACGGCGGCCCCATGTGTGTCAGAGTAGAACTGTGCTCCACAGAGTTTTCAATGGCTGATTTTTCAGAAGTAGATCACCAGGCCTTTCTTCCAAGGCACCTCAGGGTGGATTCGAACTACCAACTCTTCAGTCAGTAGCCGAGTGCTTAACCATTTGCACTACCCAGGGACTCTTTTAGAAGATTATCTGGCCCCGAATGAAACAACAAACTCTACAATATTTAACACCCTCTCCACCCCCACCCCCTCAATTTCTACTTATTTCTCCCAAAATTCTACAGGAACAAAGGGAAAAACTTTAAAGAGCCCCTTTTCAATTACAGATCACCAGGAGGAGAGATGGATACAGCGTTATGCCAACTAAGCTATGTCTTTAAGAGGAGGAGACAATGGCCTTTTGTAATAATCTCCAAAGGGGGAAAATTAGGCTCATCTTAGCTTGAAACCTCCAAAGATCTTTTTGTTCCCTTCACACCCAAGAGAATGTCATAAAACCTAAAATTGGGAAAGGTGATGAGAATGGCTTACCGAAATACAATCCCTGCTATGAAGTAAAAAAGCCCAAGCGTGTCCATCACATTCCACAGGTCAGTAAAGTAGTTCACCCCATTCATGTACCACTGAAGAGAGAGATGGGACAGAGAGAGGCCATCAGCAGCTTGGATGGAAACACCACGGCTGCCAGATTTTTTAGTGTTCATTCATTTTTCACAGGTTCTTCTGAGCCAATGCTTGCTTTCTTTATTCTTCCATATGCTAAGGGAGTTCTACCATATGCCTAGGCTATTCCAGGGTGACTGGCAACCTTATATACCAGAGTAGAACTGCCCCACAGGGTGTCCTAGGCTGCAATCTTTACAAATTAAAGGAGCCCTTGTGGTATAGTGGTTAAATGGTTGGTTGCTAACCAAAAGGCTGGCAGTTCAAACCCACCAGCCGCTCTGTGGGAGAAAGACATGGCAGACTGCTTTAGCAAAGATTTACAGCCTTGCTAACCCTATGAGACAGTTCTACTCTGTCCTATAGGGTCGCTTTGAGTAGGAATCAACTCGACAGCAACAGGTAATCTTTACAGAAGCAGATTGCTGGGTCTTTTCTCCCACGGAGCCGCTGGGTAGGTTTGAACTGCCAACCTTTAGGTTAGCAGCCAAGCACTTAACCAACTGAACCGCCAGGACTCCTTTTTTAAATCCCATACCAAAAAAACCAAACCCATTGCTGTCGAGTAGATTCTGACTCATAGCAAATCTACAGGACAGAGTAGAGCTGCTCCATAGGGTGTCCAGGGAGTGGCTGGTGGATTCAAACTGCCGACCTTCTGGTTAGCAGTCAAGCTCTTAACCACTGCACTGCTGGCTCAGCCTCTGTCTGGCAATTTTCAAAAGCCCAGCCAGGATGAGGGGAGAAGTCTTCAGGAGAATCCTGGGGCTCCGAGGCATCATTGCAGTAAGAAAACATTTTAAAAAAAAGCAAAACTCTTTTCTCAAGATGGGAGCCCTGGGTAGCACAATCAGTTAAGTGCTCAACTACAACCCAAAAGGTTGGCAGTTCGAATCCACCCAAAGGTGCTGCAGAAGAAAGCCCTGGTGATCTGCTTCCAAAAGGTCACAGCCCAGAAAACCCTATGGAGAGCAGGTCTACTCAGAACACACGGGTCACCATGAGTGGGAATCAACTTGATGGCAACTGGTTTTCTCAACAGAACGTCAGAGATAGGGTTGGCTCATAAAACACTGGGGCCGTATTTTATATCTTTCAGGTCTTGGGGATCCAAGGGGCTTCAGGTTTGCATGGGGCTCTCCATGAAGCATGGTGGAACCGGTTGTTGTGGATGTTAGGTGCCCTGGAGTCAGTTCTGACTCAGAGCGACCCTGTGTACAGCAGAACTAAACACTGCTCGGTCCTACGCCATGCTCACAATCATTGCTATGTTTGAGTCCATCTTTGCAGCCACTGTGTCAAACCATCTAGTTGACTTCCTCTGTTTTGCTGACCCTCTACTTTCCCAACTTTACCCATTATAAATAAACACCAGCATAATCTGCATAATGGAATGAAAAGCTGCCCCTGTCAAAACTTTCAAATTAACACATCAACATCTGCATCTAGGCAAGATGACATAGGTAGACATTAAAGAACACAGCTTTCTGGCACCCAGATACAAGCTAAAACAGGTAACATCCCGGTTGTTGGTGTTTTTTTCCTAACAAGTGTGAACTAGTTTAATTAAAAGAGCACGAGGCCAGCAAACTGTTCCTTAGAGGAAATCCATCAAATCTTGGGTTTCAAAGGCAAGAGACTGCAGACAAGAAGAGAAACAGTGACCCCAAGTGTCAGCTTGCTTTAATAACAGGAATCGTCACAGGTCCTCTGCAGGTTTTCTCATAAACCACAGGTCAGAGCTCTAAGGCTGGTGTCACAGACTGAATTATGTCCCCCAAAAATGTGCGTCACCTTGGCTAGGCCATGATTCACAGCATTGTGTGGTTGTCCTCCATTTTGTGATCTGATGTGGTTATCCTATGTGTTATAAATCCTAACGTTTATGATGTTAATGAAGCAGGATTAGAGACAGTAATGTTCATCAGACAAGACACAATCTACAGGATTAGGTTGTACCTTGAGTCAATCTCTTTTGAGATATAAAAGACAGAAGCAAACAGAGAGATAGGGGACCTCCTATTACCAAAAAAGAAGAGCTAGAAGCAGAGCACATCCTTTGGATCTGGGGCGCCTGCACTGAGAAGCTCCTAGACCAGGGGAAGATTGATGACAAGGACCTTTCCCCAGAGCTGACAGAGAGAGAAAGCCTTCCCTTGGAGCTGATACCCTGAATTTGGACATCTAGCCTCCTAGACTATAAGAGAATGAATTTCTATTTGTTAAAGCCATCTACTTGTGGGATTTCTGTTACAGCAGCACTAGATAACTAAGACAGCTGGCAAAGACATGAAATGACAAAGCAGGACTTGAACCCAAACTCCTAGCCCTGAGCATAGCGTTCTTCCCATACCGTTGTCTTAAAGTGGCACTGAATTAAAAACGACCCATTCAAAAATATTTTTTTAAAAGGAAAAGGCCAAGCACATATTGGACAAAGCTGTATGGCCTTGCTATTCCTCTCCACATCAAACATCATTCGTTATAAAAGTAGACAGAAGAGCTGTGTCATGGATTGAACTGTGTCCCCAAAAAATATCTGTCAACTTGGCTAGGTCATGATTCCCAGTATTGTATGATTGTGTAATCTGATGTGATCTCCTTATGTGTTGTAAACTCTATCACTATGATGAGGTTATACTGACGAGGTCTACAAGATTGGATAGTGTCTTAAGCCAATCTCTTTTGAGATATAAAAGAGACACATGGGAACCTCATACCACCAAGAAAGCAGTGCCGGGAGCAGAGTGTGTCCTTTGGACCTGAGGTTCCTGTGCTTAGATGCTCCCAGACCAAGGGAAGACTGATGCATCATAAGGACCTTCCTCCAGAGCCGACAGAGAGAGAAAGCCTTCCCCTTGAGTTGATGCCTTGAATTTGGACTCATAGCCTACTAGACTGTAGGAGAATAAATTTTCTCTTTGTTAAAGCCATCTACTTGTGGGATTTCTGTTAGAGCAGCACTAGATGACTAAAACAAGCTGGGATCAGCCAGACCCTTGGACGCTGCTTCTTCCTGGCAGACCCCAGGAACAACGGTGAAGCGTGTGACATTATCCAGGCATCACTACAGCCTGTTTCCCTTCCTCGAGATTCCTTCCCTACCTGCCTGCAGTCTCCTCCTATTCAGGGCCCCTGCTCTGCCCTTCCTGAGCCAATGCCTCACACTACACCTACCCATACACATACCTGTTTCGTTTCTGCATGACCTTGATAGATGACTTAGTAGCTAAATGTACACTCTAATTGGCTTAGGGATGTTTATGACCTAATAGACTTTAAATTTTACTGCAGCAAGTCCCCGGGACCAACCTCCCGATAAATGTTGGACTCACTCATGCTCACCTCCATCCTGATCATTTTGCCTCATTCAATACCGACAGTGTAATTTATCTTATTCTTCCTCCATCTCCACTCCATCTCCTCCAATCTACTATGCAAGGAAAGGCAAATACAGGACATTTTTGCCAGGTCTCCTTCCACCCCTCGTACGCATGGCAGACATCACTAATTGATCAAGATACTCTCTCCTGCTGAGAACAGATAGAGCCTCAGAGTCTTTCTCAACCCAAGACTCCTGGAAGCCAAAAAGAAAAAAAAGGCTGGTAGTTTAAAACAATTTAAGATTCCTGTATTAGGCAGTCCACCACCTGTCTGTTAGTGTGTCGTACTGTGGTGGTTTGTGTGTTGCTATGATGCTGGAAGCTATGGTACCAGTATTTCAAATACTAGCAGGGTCACCCATGGAGGACAGGTTTCATTGCAGCTTCCAGACAAAGACAGACTAGGAAGAAAGGCCTGGCACTCTACCTCCAAAATTAGCCAATGGAAACTCTATGGATCCAGCATAATACTGTCTGATACAGTGCTGGAAGATGAGTCTTGTAGGTTGGAAGGCACTCAAAATACATAGTGGCCACAACAAGGGACTAGAGGATACCAGCAATTGTGAAGGTGGCCCAGGACCGGGCAATACTTCATCCTGTTGTACATGGGGTCACCATGAGTCAGAGCTGACTCAACAGCAACTAAAAACAGCATACTAGGAAGTTACTGTAAGATCAAGAACGGCAGCCTTTACCCTTTTAAATCTCTTGTGGCACTTGGCATAGCACCTCGTAAACTGTAAGTACCTGGGACATACTTGCTGAGTGGGCATGTTGTTGAGTTAGGGCTTAGAAGAGCCAATGGAAGTGATAGCAACATCCATTCTCAAACAGTTTTCTAGAACAATCTCTTCTTAGTGGTTTAAGGCCAACAGCGTCCTTCACTAGCAACATTTATTTATTCAACAATGATTAACTGTGCACTCGCCATGGACCAAGCCTGGGCTAATGTTGGGATTCAACGGTGGGCAGAGGATGTCGAAACATGAAGATCCCAAGAAACCTCAAAAAAGCACAATGAATAATTCACACCAACTCTCCAAACTCCATCAGGACTTCCATGTCTTTCCAACACTCTGTCATGCTGTCCACTAAGATGCTCTTGGCTCTGGAAGTCCTCCTAGCTCTGCTGCCATGCACCATGTGCCTTCCCTGGTGACAGTAATGGCAGGAGCACAAACTGCTCCTGCTGACAGGAAGGGATTTACAGCCCAAGCTCTCTCTTCTATGAGAAATTCATCTCCACCAGCTAACGTCAACCAGAGAGCAAAGAGTGAGCTTGTGCTGAGAAATCTCATTGGATTGCTAAGAGTTCTCAAATGCATGTTGGGCTAAAATGTTCATCGACTACTACCTGATAAACCAAAAACCAAACCAAACCCGTTGCTTCAAGTCCATTCTGACTCATAGTGACCCAATAGGACAGAGCAGAACTGCCCCATAGGGTTTCCAAGGAGCGCCTGGTGGATTCGAACTGCCAAGCTCTTACAAGAATATTTCTTTTGGGAAAATAATGATCTTTGAACTTCAGAAGCAACTTCTAGTCCTCCTTGGTTCCAGGAAGAGCCTCCTGGCTTTGCTCTCTTACCTGCCGGACTTCATCACAGAACAGGACAAAGACCAGTGCGTAGAGGACCAGCTCGGGGTAATGCGGCACCGAATGAAAATCCATGAGCAGCACGTAGGCAAACAGCAGGAGGAAGGCGATGTAGAAGACCACGTTCCAGGAGAAGACCACAAAGGGAGAGGTGAAGAATGCCACATAGTGCCAAAGGAGCTTCTTGTGCTTGTCGATGGGTTTCTTCCTGGATGGAGACGTAAGAGCTTCATCACAGTCCTCACAAATGTCCCACAGGAGAGCATGTTGCTGCATGGGCTGCAGCCTGGGGTGACCCTGTCCCCTCCCAAACATAGATAAATATAGACCAACAGCAGGGGGAGGAGGTCAAAATTGTACTCTAAGATTGACCAGCTAAAATTCAGCCCTTGGCACTTGGAGATGAACAGATCCAAATGCTTCCTCGGATATGGAAGACATGATCCCACACCTACCCATCTGAAATCAAACCCAGGGAAAGCCAGAGAAGATACCAGATCAAATGGGCAGACACTGGCGTGAACGTCATAAATTGCAGGCCTTCTGATCACTTCTGCAAGAGTGCACACATGTGCGTGCACATACACACACACACACACACACACTCGCACACACAGTCACATGCCTGGTTCATACCTAAATGAAACGAAGCCACAGCCGACCAAAGGTATAATAAACAGACACAGGATAATCTTCCAGTTCTTGGTGTCTCGGGAAATCTCTCCGTACCATTGCTTGGAAAGAAAATTCTAGAGGGAAACAGAGACCAATAACACAGATCTTTATGATGCAATTAAATGCAGGATGGTATGCAATCTTTCCTCCCAGCCCGCACACCCCTAAACATAAAGAACTCTCAGAATTCACAGCCTTACTCTTTTATATTGGTCACTTGGATTCTAAGGCTATGATGCAAAAGGAAATTCTGTTTGGTTTTCAGTTCTTTTCTAAGTTGGATTCTGTGAACTTTAAAATAGAGGCTAAATTAGAGATTGTGTGAGTCAAGAAAGCTATGAATTTTTAACCAACTCTAATTCTTATTTTCACCACCTGGGTGGCTTATGTGTTGCTGCGATGCTGAAGTTATGTCACCAGTATTTCACATACCAGTGGGGTCACCCATGGTGGACATGTTTGAGCAGAGCTTCCAGACAAAGACAGACTAGGGAGAAAGGCCTGGTGATATACTTCCAAAAATTATCCAGTGAAAACCCTATGGATTACAACAGAACCTTGATGGATACAGTGCTGGAAGATGAGCCCCCTAGGTTGGAAGGCACTCAAAAGACAGTGGGCGCAACAATGGACTCGAGCATGTCAATGATTGTGAAGATGGTGCCGGGCCAAGCAAAGTTTCATTCAGTTGTACAGTGGGTCGCCGTGAGTTGGAGCCAACTCGATGGCAACTAACAATTATTCTTATTCCACTTGTCTAAACAAGCAGCTTTCTAGATCTGTTCTTCTCAATGATCACAAATTTATAGACACGTTGAATGCTACTGCAGGGCCCCCGAGGATTCATACCTGGACCAGACAGGGGAGGCTCTTGTCAAGAAAGAAAAGGAGGTTGGGAAGTGAGAGATGGCCCAGGTCTTAACGCCAGTTCAAGCTGAAATGCATGAGAAAGCTTTCCCCAGACTGTACCAACCCCGGAAAGGTGGCAGAGTAGCAAACGGGTTGGTTTTTTTTTTGAAACACTTTGCTAAAGATTGGCTGCAGGGTATAATAGAAAGTCCCCGAGTTCCATCCATGAAGATGGAAATTAGAAAACTCACTTGTCCCCGAGAGCCACACTTTAAATCAATTCAAAGGGGGCAAGGAAAGACTGAACCACATCTAAGGAGCTCAGGGCTCTCAAAAGAGACCCCTTAGTCGGAAGGGATGGGTCTGTCTTGGCGGCACGGGAGAGGGGAGTCTGTGACATCTGCAGCACTGGCCAGGAGGGAGGGGACTGGTGGTGCCCCTGCCCCGCACACTGGCCTTTCCCTCCTGGAGCCCCCTTGGCCCACCAGGGGTGGGCTGGAGTAGCCCCCACCTGTGATAAGCTGGGGTCCTTGGGTCAACATCCCTGCTCCCGGCTCTAGATGGCAGCACTGAGGCAGATCTGATTCTGTTTCCTGGAGGTCCCTGCAAGGATGAGCCCTGGCTGCCCACTGGGGTGATGGCCTCTTTACTGGCTTACCTGTAGTTGTACCCTTCCCTGTCTCGCAGCCCCTCTCCCCTTACTGTGCCTACCGGGCTCTCCTCCAGAATAAACTGCCTGCATTCAAGCCCTTGTCCTGGAGTGTGCTTCTGGGGGTCCCAAAGACAGGTGGTGTCCAGTCTTCCTCACTCACCTATTCCTGGGGTGGTGAGCATGCCAGGCTATCACTTAGGGTCCTGTTAGGCGCCCCATCCCCAGAAAGTGTCCCTGGCTTGGGTTCTACGGTCACCAAGCAACGTTCTGATCCCACAGAGAAGCAGCCTGATACAAGGAATAAATGTTAGACCAACAGGATGGTCCCATGGGCCTGGCAGTGTGGTTTCTGATTAATGAATTGGCATCTGGTTGAAACCTTTGGGGCTTATGAACTTGGACAAAAGCCTAAATGGGCCCCCTGGGACATTAGTAAGATGGGCTTTGTGTCCTAAGAGGCTGTGAGCAGAGCCTCTTAGGACCCACCATGGACCATCCCCAAATGAAAGCATTGGCAGCCATCCCAGCTTACCAGGCGCAGACCAACACTAACGCCAGCCTCACTTCAGCCCACTACAATGGAGGCTAAACAGAGCCAACAGCAAGACTCCTTCTTTGAGTGTTCCTTGTCACAGATTAGCTCCCTTGCTTAATCTAGCTTAGTTGTAGTAGCAAATGGACCTTTTCCACAAACACTTCACTAATTACTGGCTGGATAGGATAATAGAAAGTCCATGAGGAAGACAAACAGCATGAGATCAAATCTTATCACTGCGCCTTCCTAGCAGTACAACTTCTGGAACATTCCAGAACCTTTCTGAGCTCCTTCGTGCTCATCGGCAAACTGGGGATGACTCCCACCTCCACGGCTGGCTGTGAAGATGAAACCTGGTCACATGTATAATACTGTGGGTAGTGGGTGCTAGTGGCTCCATCCCTTCCATAGCCGAGACCCCTCCAACAGGGATTATCAGTGAAGGAGCTCCCCTCTGCAACCTGAGATACCAAGGGCAAACTGCTGTGGATTGAATTCAGTGTCAAAAACCTCTAGACTGGAGGTTCCAGCAAAATGGTGCGCTAGGCAGAAGCACCACGCCGTCCCTCCACAGCAAAGATCCGAAAAACTAAGCCGAACAGAGAAAACAACAATCCTGAAACCCTAAAACATCAAATGAAGAGATAAAGAACTCAGCCAAGCACCAAATGG